ACTGGTGGGTGGGGGGCTATCTGGGTCCAGGCAGGCTGGGGGAGGGGTTGTGGGAGATTGAGGCACAGCAGGTTGCACCCCGTCCAGCCTATGTGGAGGTGTGGCACCTGGACCAGGCCCGTGCCACTCCCTCTGTTGCTGCCTCTGCAGAAGGGGCAGCACTGGGACCGGGACCGTGCAGCCCCCTCTCCTGCTGCCTCTGCAGAAGGGGCCGCAGCACTGGATCAGCCCATGCTGCCACCTCTCCTGTGCCGCCACCTCTCCCGCACCGGCCCTTGCTCTTGCAGCTGCTGCAGCTTTGTCTGGAAGGAAGTCCAATCTATCTGGACTAATTAGCATATTACCATTTTATTAGCATAGACTAGAGGCCCGGTGCACAAAAATTTGTGCACTCGGGGGGGGGGGTGCCTCAGCCCGGCCTGTGCTCTCTCCCAGTCTGGGACCCCTGGGGAGATAACGACCTGCTGGCTTAGGCCTGCTCCCGGGTGGCAGAGGGCAGGCCCAATCCCTAGGTGCAGCCCCTGGTCGGGCTCAGAGCAGGGCCTATTGGGGAGTAGGGGCGCTGCCCCCTGTCATGCATAGAGCGGGGCAGATTGGGAGGTTGCGATGCCACCCTCAGTCACACTCAGGGTAGGGCCGATTGGGGGGTTGGGGCACCGCCCCCTGTCACACTCAAGGCAGGGTCGATGGGGAGGTTGCGGCACCACCTCCTGTCACGCACAGACAGGGCCCATCAGGGGGGTTGGGGAGCTCCCTCCTGTCACGCACAGAGCACGGCTGATCAAGGGGTTGAGGAGCTCTCCCCTGTCACTCACAGAGTAGGGTCGATAGGAGAGTTGGGGCACTGCCCCTTGTCACACACAGAGCAGGGCGGATCAGGGGGTTGGGGCACCGCCACTGTAACACTCAGGGCAGGGCCAATGGGGAGGTTATGGCTCTACCCCATCACACACAGCAGGGCCCATCGGGGTGGGGGGGTTGGGGCGCTATACCCTATCACATACAGAACCGCAGGGGAATCAGGGGGTTGGGGAGCTCTCCCCTATCAGGCACAGAGCAGGGCTGATCAGAGGGTTGGGGCGCATTCCCCTGTCATGAACAGAGCAGGGCGGATAGGGAGGTTGTGGCCCCACCCCCTGTCACACACAGAGCTTCAGGGCGATCAGGGGGTTTGGGCGCTACCCCCTGTCACGCTGATCCCAGTGCTGGGAGGCATATTACCCTTTTACTATATAGGATAGGGGCCTGGTTCACGGGTGGGTGCCGGCTGGTTTGCCCTGAAGGGTGTCCTGGATCAGGGTGGGGGTCCCCACTGGGGTGCCTGGCCAGCCTGGATGAGGGGGTGATGGCTGTTTGCAGCTGGTCACACACCCTTCGGGGGGGGGGGTCCCCAATGGGGTGCCTGGCCAGTCTAGGTGAGGGGCTGAGGCCTGTTTTCAGCCTGGCGGGTGACTGAAGCTCCCAACCACTTCTTTTTTTCTTTTTTTTTTTTTTTTTTTTTTTATTCTGAGCCAGCTTTAGCTCTGGCTCCAGCTCTGAGGCCTCTGCTGCTGAAAGCAGGTATCTGGTTTGTTTGGGTTCTATAATCGAAACAGTTTCAACTCCAGCTCTGAGATCCCAGCTCACTGAAAGCACGTTTCTGGGGTTTTGTTTAGCTTCTATATTTGTAACAATGTTTCAAACTGAAAGCTCAGAGGCCGGCAAGGCAGGCAGGGAACGTTGGATTCCTCCGTCACTGAAGCAAGCAAGCCTCATGTTAGTTTCAAGCTGCCTGGCTTCCGGCCGCCATCTTGGCTGGCAGTTAATTTGCATATCGCCCTGATTAGCCAATTGGAAGGGTAGCAGATGTACGGCTAATTACCATGTTTCTCTTTTATTAGATAGGATTGATGTTATTATTGATAGGTGCTTATTTATTGCACTTTTACTTCTTTATGCATATGTTTCTCTCTCTCACTATTTCTTCTACACATTACAGCAGTCACTTTAAAATTTCTTGCAGTGCTGGTTTAGTGGTGATAAACTCCTTTATCTTTTTTTTTTTTTCTGGGAAGCTCTTTATTTCACCATCTGTTTTGAATGATAGTCTTGCTGGATATAGTCGTCTTGGTTTCAAATCCTTGCTTTTCATTACCTTGAATATTTCATGCCATTCCCTCTGGCCTGCAGAGTTTCTGATGAGGAATCAGCTGACAGCTTTATTAGAGCTTCTTTGTAGGTAACAAAGTGCTTTTCTCTTGCTACCTTTGAGATTCTCTCTTTGCCTTTAATTTTTGTCATTTTAATTATGATATGTCTGGGTGTGGGCCTGTTTGTGTTCTTCTTGCTTGGGACTCTCTGAGCCTCCTGAACTTGTGTGACTTTTCTCTTTACCAGGTTAGGGCAGTTTTCTGCCATTATTTCTTCAAATACATTCTCTATCCTTTGCTCACTTTCTTCTCCTTCTGGCACCCCAATTATGCAAATATTGTTACATTTCATGTTGTTCCACTGCTCCCTTAAGCTGTCCTCCTGTTTTTTAATTTTTTTTTTCTTTTCTCTGATTGAGTGATTTTTTCTACCCTGTCTTTTAATTCACTTATCTGATCCTTGGCTTCCCATAATCTGCTGTGTATTCCTTCCACTGTGTTCTTTATTAGTGCTATGTCATTCTTTATTCCTGACTGGTCTTTTTTCATAATTACTACATCTTTTCTCACACTGTTGAGTATTCTTGCCATCATTATTCTGAACTCTATATCAGATAAATTTCTTATCTCCATTTCATTTTGCTCTTCTTCTGGAGCATTCTCTTGTTCTTTCATTTGGGGATTTCTGGTTTTTTGTCTCCCCATTTTGGATGCCTGTTTGGGTTTGTGTCAATGTATTAGGTACATCTGCTATGACTCTCAATCTCTAGTGCAGGACAGTGTCAGATGCTGTTTCTGACTGGCCCCGAGTACCCTGTTTGGGGCTATCAGCAATTCACAGTTTGTGGCTCCCTCTGCTGGGGCTGAGTGCCTTTTCTACCAGCTTCTTTTTGATGGGCTTGTACTTTCTAGAGATTCCCTCATATTTATGGCTTTTGGACCCAAATGTTCTAATGACATAAGATGGCAGCATTCTTGCCTGTCTTTTTATAACTCAGGAAATATAAGCAGTGTTGTTTGTTGTATTCTGTATTTCCAAAAGCTGTTGAAATTTGTCCAAATATTTCAGCAAACTTAGTGAAAATTACCTTCTGATACTTGCCACTCTTCCCATCCAGGCTTCAGAGGTCTCTGTACCAGGATCCTGCACTGTATTACCTCAAAATGCATTCTTTTTGGGTATGCCCTAGTTTTGATAGCCTTTCTTACTTTCTTGAATGGCATGTGTAGGTTCAGAGTTGTAAGGATGTACCAAATACCCCAAGGAGTCTTGTCATATCTATTGCTGCTTCTTACACCACCACTTGTTCTCTCTCTCTCTCCCTCTCTCTCTCTCTATCTTTCTCTCTCTTTTTTAGAAAAAGGCTAGTCATTTTAGAATTTCAGTGTCTGAGGAAAAAGGCTTAAATATAACTCTCCAAACACTCTCTTCTTCTGGTCTTCCCCGAGATTAAATAATAATCAACATCATGAGTGAACTCTCAAAAAAAAAATGACCACTTTTTCCCTTTTGATCATCCAGTAACTTTATACCTGAGGAAGGATATTAAGACAAACTGTAGGGACTTTCAGTTTCAAATTTGTCACAGTTCCCTGCATGTTCTCTAAAGCCAGCAATGATCTCTGAAAGTGCACTTCTATCTCTTCTCACTGTTCATGGTATTGATGTCCACCAGCCCAGGATTCCTAATAATAACCTGATAGAATCCTGAAAATGCAATCAGAATTTTCCCAGCTTTCAAGTTTCTGTGGACATAAGGGAGAATAAATTAACATTAAGATTTGACTTTTCTTGAAAGTTATTCCAACTTATTGATGCAGGACATCTTCAATATTTTCCATAGTGATTTCTGAAAATTTTCATCTTCCTTACTAATGCTTATGCACATAATCACATCCTGCTCCCACCTCCTTATTGATATTTTCTGCCTGTGAGCATATTATTAATGGAGATGCTTACCTAGAGTACTAACTCAGTATTCTTAAAAATAAAACTGCTCAAAATTTTACACAGAAATTAGAGGACTGCATTTTTTCCAACTCTGTATTTCACTCTGTCTCTGAAACTTGAAACAATGTTGCTTATGACCAGACTCTCACTGAAACTCTTGCTAAAAAGAGAGTCCTTTCAGTTTCTGCTTATATAGCGTTTCTGCATAGTGGTCACATCTAGTTTCTGTAGCACATTTGGGAGTCATACCATCCTCTCCACCTCCAATAACTCCAGAGTTCCCAGGCCATATCTCCAAAGGACTTACACATAAACTTTCCTCTTGTTGACCCCTTTCCTCAGGAAAGGTGGGAATGGAAATGTATGTTGTCAGCTAAGAGCTCATCTCAAAATCAGGCCAACCAAACTTGGTGTGCTATTGTTTCTCTTATAGGTTATATACTCATCATTTGTATTGCATTTGGAAGATGATATGCTAAAACAGAATGATTGAATTTTTTAATGTCATTGAGTACAGATGTAAATGTATTCATTCATTCATTCAAGAAATATTTGTTGAGTATTTTTTATGAGCCAGGACAGTTTTAGGAACTGGAAATAAAACAAACAGACACAATCCAGTCTTACAAAAACAGTATCTATAATAGTTAATCTCAATAATGATAATTCCATACCTTCTATAAGTATTTAGGGAGAAAGCATTCCTAACATAAAAAATAACTTTTTTTTTCTCACACTGCTACTCTTTTGTGTGACTACCAATTTATGCTGTGAATAGCTTTCAACAAATGTCAACTCTAGCTTTTCTTCAGCAAAATGCAATTGAATATATGCCATTGCACAAATCTGTTCAGTCCTTCAATGTGCTATAACAATGTCCTACTATTTTTTATTTTTTATTTTTTATTTTTTCCCCTCAGGTGTGTCAGTACCGATTCCAGTGCTTGGACTGAGGGATGAAAGCAAGGTGTTTGCTCGCAATACCACCTGTGCGCTGACTGACCCGAATTTCGTTCTTATTGGGTCCTTCGTAGCGTTCTTCATACCACTGACGATTATGGTGTTCACCTACTTGCTGACGATTTATGTTCTTCGAAGACAAGCTCTGATGTTACTGCGCGGCCACACCGAGGAACTGCCCAAGATCAGCCTGGATTTCTTGAAGTGCTGCAAGAAGAATGCCACCGAGGAAGACAACGCTGCTAACCCTAATCAAGACGTCAGACCTCGCCTAAGAAAGAAAGAAAAACGTCCCAGGGGCACCATGCAAGCTATTAACAATGAACGGAAAGCATCGAAAGTCCTTGGCATTGTTTTCTTTGTGTTTCTGGTCATGTGGTGCCCGTTTTTTATTACTAATATTCTGTCGGTTCTTTGTGAGAAGGCCTGTAATCAACAGCTCATGGAAAAGCTTCTGAATGTGTTTGTTTGGATCGGCTATGTTTGTTCAGGAATCAATCCTCTGGTGTACACTCTTTTCAACAAAGTTTACCGACGGGCTTTCGCCAACTATCTGCGCTGCAATTATAAGCCAGAAAAAAAGCCTCCGGTCAGGCAAATTCAGCGAATTGCTGCTACTGCTTTGTCTGGGAGGGAGCTCAATGTTAACATTTACCGGCCTACCAACGAACGCGTGATAAAGAAAGCTGATGACAATGAACCAGGGATAGAGATGCAAGTTGAGAATTTGGAGCTCCCAGAAAACCCCTCCAATGTGGTTAGTGAAAGGATCAGTAGTGTGTAAGAAAGCGCAACACAGTCTTTTCCTACAGTAATGCTGGTAATGTAGGAAAATATTCTTCTATGATCTCCCGCTGGTTCTAACTAATGTAAATACTGCTGTCTGAAAAAAAAAGTGTTTTTTATATATAGCTTTGCAATCCTGTATTTTGCAATCATGTGTACAATAGTGAGATTTAGGGTTCTATATTTACTGTTTATAATAGATGGAGAATAACTTATTTTGATTCTTTGATGCATAAAATGTTGATTGTTTTCTTTCCCTTCCTTCCTTCCTTCCTCCCTGCCTCCTTCTCTCTCTCTCTCTCTCTCTCTCTCTCTCTCTCTCTCTCTCTCTTCTCTCCTCTCTCTCTCTCTCTCTCTCTCTCTCTCCTCCTTTTGTGAATAAGGAAATGTTCATCTCAGGTGGCATTTGCAGGAGACCAGAATGATGCATATGACAGTGGTTGTATTTCAGCCACACCAAAATTAAAAATTCGGTGGAATCTTTTTCCAGGTTAACAGTAAATATATACTTTAAATACTTGCTGTGCTGTGCTCATCCATCTACACACATAAACACAGTAAGATAGGTTCTGCCTTCCTATACTCTGTCATATCGTTAGTGAGGCAAAGGTAGAACGTAGCCTTTTTGTCACATATGGGGCAAAATTTGACATTGTCAGAGTGTTGTGTTGATATTGTACTGCAATGTCTGTCCCCAAACATAGTGGTATTTTAACATAAGCAGCTGGTTAACCGGGACTACAGAAGTGGAAGGATAATACGAGATACATCCACGAATAGCTTTTCACTTCTTAAGGACAATGTTCAAATTCTGATTATAATAACAAACAAATTGAAATCAATGTTTTCATTCTGGTCCTTAGTAAATACCTAATTACGTAACAAAACTGGGAAATGAGGTCCCAGGTTTATTTCCCAATCCAGAATTCAACATCAATTGGATTTTGATCTCAGGATCCTGGAAATTCGTGTGCTACACACAAAGTGAAATTAGCATTTTGAGCCTTATTAAAATATTTTTTTAATTATGGTACCTCTGTCTATAGGGCCCAATTTTGTAGTCCGTTTTTGAGTAAAACTTGCGTTGGAAGCATAGATGATCAAAACCTTGGGAGCTTTACTTGATTAAGGACTACAGAATGAGGCCCTTAGAATGTGAAAAAAGTAATTAAAAAGAAGCTTTTACTGAACTCTAGGAGTAAGAGAAATACAGAGTTTCCATTTGGATTTTAAACAAAATTTATCTCATTTTCAGATCCTTCCAAACTCTAGTGCAGGAAAAGGCTGCAGCTAATTTGTGAAAGTGGCAAGCTCTTCATTGTACTGCAATTATGTACCAGAAGTTTAAACCTCTGCAGCTAATTTGTGAAAGTGGCAAGCTCTTCTTTGTACTGCAGTTATGTACCAGAAGTCTAAACCTTTGTTCAAATATAGTGTTGTGTTACAATCAGTGTTGGCCATCGTTTCATTCGTGGGCCTGCTGCTCTCTAAGAATTCAGTACCCCTTTACTAGCTTGTAAACCATGAAAGGTTTTCAGGCATTGCTACAGTCAGACCATTAAATCTATGCTGTGTGCAGAATATACAATGTGTCCAGTAACTGTATTTCCATGTGTGTCCATCTCACACAACTGTGGAACAATTTCTGAAGAATTCATGATGCTATTTCTTATACCTGACAGTTACTTACCTTAAGGTGTGCCTCTCAGTATCCTGAAATTGGTGAAGGCAGAATCTGAATTTCTAAGACCCCTGATCTGTGTCCTCAACACACAGCATAGAAAAATCCAACAGTCTGCCACAGGGGCAGTGGGAGAGCTGCTGTACTTGAGGAAACTCATACAGTCTCTACTTGATTCACAATACTGCCAAATGTCAGTCAATTCCTTGAGCATGCCCAAATCTAACCTGGAAGTAAAGCCTACCTGCCTGTTAGCTCTGTCGAACTGCATGTTAAAACAATTATATGAAATTGAATGAGATGATCTAATTCTTACTGAAATTAAATGTCTGAAGAAACAGCATGCATCGCACATGAGTTGTGCACATACAGAGGGTGTCCTGCATGTATGCCATGTATGTTGCATGAATCCATCAATTTGTATTAATGTAGGGCAGAGTAGGTGATATCAAAGGACTGAGGAAAACCTGTCAGCAGTCCTTATAAAGACCACACATTCAGATCTGAAGTATTTTGAGTATTGGAGAAAATTGGAAACATCTGATTTCTTAACTATCAGGGCAAGCTCATAGCACATGTTTTACACAGAAATAAAATATAAACCACAATGTTCAAAAGCACTGGCAATAAGTGGAATGATAATAGCTTATAGCACATTTGTTAATAATTCTTATGTCATCAAGTAGTAGTACTTAATAGTACCCAACACAGCAATTATTCTCAAATTGTGTGCTATTCGTAAGTTCTGTGCAGTTTGGTATGAAACAAATATACTTATTTGGATATAAATCTTACAGTTCAAGGTTAAATCTACAAACTTTTATAAGTGTTTTAAAAAGTCCATGTGATAACTGTGAACGTGGTGAATTTACTGTCAAACAAATCATTTTGATGAACTATTATATATGTATATCTGTTAAGAAACATGCAACAGACTGCCTTTATTATTTCCTGTGAAACTTCTCCATCATATGGTACTTGTTGTGAGTGGTGGCAAAGTGTTGTTTTATTCTTGGTTCCTGCATTTCCCTGCTCCAGGTGTTTGTGATACTTCCCATTAATTTATTAAATTTATTAAACGTTGGCTGGTGTGTCATGTGTCTTTATTCCACCTACATCATTTGAGGGGGAAAATATATCACTTCGCTTCATTTTCTTTTAAAAGAAGTTGACACAGCCAGAAAATGCTGCTCTTCTGATTAATTCTGCATGTACTCAAAGACTACACCACCGGAGGAAAGACAATTAAGATGTGTAAACCACAAAAACAATATTAAAACAACATCACTGATTATTCATGAGCAGAATAACTGAACTACCAAATTATCCTACCTTCCTTCACCTGAGCAGGGACCTGGGTGGCACACGTGCTCTCCTTGTTATAAGTGTCATTGCTACCTTATTCCCACCAGACTCTAAGCTCCTCGAGAACAGGAAGGACCATGTCTATCTTATGGATGGTTTTATCCCCAATAGTTAGTGCTCACTATACATTCAACAGATATAGATTGAGCATCGGTACCTGTGGGCCCTGTATTATCTTTTAGTGTTGCCCAAATGGGCCTTACAATTCCCTGCTCTTCAGTCATGCACTGTAGCACAATCACCTTAACTTACCTCCATCCCAAATGGCTTTGGATATCTCTGCAATCTTTAGGGTAACCATACTAAGCTGCTCGGTTCCTTCACACCCGGAGCCAGGGATGACAAAATACACATATACCTTCTTGATGCTGGGGGTGCCTAGGTGATATTAGTGTGACTTCAGTTCTCTGAGAAGAAAGCAGGAGAGCCTTATTCCTTTGCCACTATGACTAGGTTGAATCCTAGGAGTAGGTGAAGAAATAAAGGTTGAACTGACACTTGAAACAATAGGTCACTGCTGCCCATGGTCAGAAATATCTTATACTTTTGAAGCTAGGGGCTACTCTCCCCTGACAGCGAAGCAATGGGAAGATGGCGAAATTTCTGAAGGTAAAGAATTGGAGTGGTTACTACTATTGGAAAGGAAAGTGGGCAAGGGAAGGCTGAAGTGCCTCATTCCACAGCCTTGGAACTTCTTCGTAGTTTGAAGACAGAAAGATGCTTCCTGTTATCAAGTGACAGTTTCTACCAACTGCAGAAACACACAGTTCCTCAGCTCACGCTTAGGCCAATGCAATCTGCAAGGTTGAGGCTCATTTCTCTCTGTACATCCTCCCTAAGCACGTGTTAACATATTACCCACAGAGTCAAATATATTAGAAAGAGATATTTGTATAGGCCGGTGGTTCTCAACCTGTGGGTCGCGACCCCTTTGGCGGTCGAATGACCCTTTCACAGGGGTCGCCTAAGACCATCCTGCATATCAGATATTTACATTACGATTCATAACAGTAGCAACATTACAGTTATGAAGTAGCAACGAAAATAATTTTACGGTTGGGTCACAACATGAGGAATTGTATTTAAAGGGCCAGAAGGTTGAGAACCACTGGTATAGGCAATGCCAACAAAAGTAGGTGGCATCATAGTGGTTCTCAACCAATATGTGACCTATAGCATACCTATAAACAAATGGTTCTAAGAGATAGGTTGGGTTCCCAAGAATGTAAACTCTGAGATGGAGATAAGTGTGCAGGATGTTTATTGGGAAGTGACCTTGGGATCCTTATCTACTGGGAAAGGGCAGGAAGTGGGACTGGGCAGAGGGGAGGCGTTGGACCGTGACGCAGTTACAATAAGGGCTTATTCAATCTGTACCGGAGAAATATACCATTTCACTTCATTTTCTTTGAAACTTAAGTTGAATTTTGTAATAGAAATTCACAAAGGCAAACACAACCAGAAAGTATCACCCTTCATGACTAATTCTGCTTGTACTCGAAGACTACAATGCCAGGGGAAAGACAACGAAGAGGTGTGAACAACAAAACACTTAGCTGACTCCCAGGAACTTAGAATCTAGGATATAATGGTATAATGAGCATCAGTATCTTTGGGCCTTGTATTATCTTTTAATGTTGCCAAATTCAGAGTCATCCCAAGTTCAAGTGGGGCGACCAGACCTCTATACCTCCAATGGCCCCAAGAGAGATGTATGACCTTATGCTGGTTCACGCTCTTCCAAAGATGCAGCTCCCAATCGGGGCTGATTGTGGAAAGCTGTCGGTCCACAGTCAGCCCATCAGAGAACCAAGCCCTTCAGCCCTGAAGGTCGGATCTTGGCAGGACAGTATAGCATCTGTAACAAATAGTATGTTTATTGGGTAGGAGATAGTCACCACCTGGTCTACCACCTGCATAAATAACATGAAACAACCTGGCTGGCTGTCACTTAAGCCAAAATCAAGAGAAAGGAAGGAGAAGGAAAAGACATGTTTTTATATATAGTCTGTCTTCTTATTAAAGGTATTCTCAATCAACAGCTTGCTAGGACTCTTAGATTTCTGAATCCATCAGGATAGCTTAGGCTAAGCTGTAATAAAAACCAATCCCAAAGTCTCAGTGCCTTAACAAAAACAAATGCTCATTTTGTTGTCAGCAAACCTGTGCTCACCATAATTACTCTGGGAAAAATGGTGATAGAGGCCTCATCCTCACATGTGCTTACACGTAGCAAAGGGAAGTGCACTTAGTGAACGTATTTCTCCCACTACATTTAATTTCCCCCACTACTGCTAATTTTTAATTTAATTCTAAATATATCCATATCCTCACACCTTTCCTATAGCATTATTTATATACTTAACTATATCCTTAAAACTATCTCTATATCTAATCCAATCCCTGCACTTAACTTTATAATTAATTCTAACCCTAACTCTTGTCTCTAAATTCTAACATTATCACTATGATCCTGCCTTTCTGTAAACTATAACATCATTCAAACTTTACCCTTCCCTTATCATTAACTCCAATTATTCCCCTGCTTTTAACCCTCCTTAGAGCTAACTCTAAACTTACTTCTAAGCCTACTTCTAAGTTCAAGCTCTAGCATTAATTACTTTTGCTTTATTCTGAAAAATCCTGTTTTGTTTGTTTGTTTGTTAACATCCTAAGAAGCTGGACTGGAAAACACAGAAAGAAAAATATGATTGCTCCTTTTTTACTTCTCTGTCTTAAAACGTCACACTCAAAACAGCTTCAAGCGACCTACTCCCTACACACTATCTGGGTATTATTAATTTTATTATAATAATCATTTATTGAGCACTGACAATGTGCCAAACAAACATGCTTTGTTTTTTGTAGATATGTTAGTATATTTAAAGTCTCCACTTTGCTATTGTGGAAATTGAGAATCAAAGAGGCAATGGGTCTTCGCCTAAGTCACTATGCTAGAAAGAGCAGAGGTGGAACTATCTGGTTTCTAAGTCTGTGCTATTCCCAATATACCATACAATTCCTTCTTAGAGTCCCACAGGCAAAACTGATTTCCTAGAGCAGAAATCATAACCCACCCCGAAGAGCATCTTTCTAAGTATGACCACTTCATAATGGGGTAAGGAAGTAGATTCCTTCACTCCTGCCACTGAAATTAATAAGAATGGCCATGTATAGTCCACTATGAATCCCCATCATGAAAGAGCCCTTCCCTGAACAGGTTGGAAAGGGGGACAAGATTGGAACAAACAGCAACTAACATGAGATCAATAGTGACAAAGACCCTGCTTTCAGACAGAAGTGACTTGTTTATACTTAAGATGAAAGGGATACTTGAAACACTTATGACGATGAAGATTATGTTGCTGATGAATCTCCAACATCAAAGAAAATACAATTACAATTCCGTCAGTGTCTTGGTCCACTCAGGCTGCCACAACAAAACACCACACACTGGGTGGCTTATAAACGACAGAAATGTGTTTCTCACCATTCTGAAGGCTGGGTAGTCCGTGATCATAATGTTAGCATGGTTGCATTCTGGTGAAGGCATCTGCCGGATTGCAGACTACTTGGCTTGTCATGTCCTCACATGGTGGAAGGCACAACGGGACTCTCTAGCTCCTTCCTGATAAGGGCACGAACCCATTTCTGAGGGCTCCTCCTCATGCGTAAGCATCTCCCAGAGGCCTACCTCTTAATACTGTCACATGGAGCATTAAAATTTCAACATATGAATTTGACCCAAACATCAAGGCCATGGCAAAGTTTAATTTTACTAGCCAACAAAGCTAAAACCTTATTTAAATATTTAATTCATAAATTAACTATATGGTTTTTATGCCCAGACCAAGATGAATTCCTCCCAGTTGGAGTATTCTTTCTGTGTAGGAGAATCTGACAGAGGTGATCAACACAAAGTTCAAAAGACAACAACAGGCCCGGCTGGTGTTGCTCAATGGTCGAGCATCGACCTATGAACCAGGAGGTCACAGTTTGATTCCCGGTCAGGGCACATGCCCAGGTTGCGGGCTCGATCCTCAGTGTGGGGAGTGCAGAAGGCAGCTGATCAGTGATTCTCTCATCAACATTGAAGGGAGAGGGAGAGAGAAAAGAGAACAAAAAAAGCAGGAGAGAAATTCAATTCCAAAACCTACTAGGACATTTGTTTACAGAACTGGCAATAATCACATAAAAGCTGCTCCTGGACACTCATGTAATTTGACACCTCCAATGTTCAGTTTTAAGGAGAACTTTGCAGGCATTTAAGTTCAAGGGTATGGGTTCCCAGTAAACCTTTGAAGTGTGGACCTACTCCAGTTTCAAGGTCTCCACCCTACCATTAAGCACTTGTCCTCAAATGCTCACTCCTTTCTTCTTTCTTGTAGTTATAATTTTTTTATTATAAAAATATTTTAATTTTTGACAATAATTTCAAGCAATATTTCAGGAAGCAATACATGAGAATATTTTATTCAGATTATTTTTGACACTTTTATTGATGCATAATCTATATATCCGGGCTGGTAGTACAAATGGAGATTCATTGCAAACAGTCATGAGGGAAGTTTTTGGGGTGATGAAAATGTTCTAAAACTGGGTTGTAGTGTTGTTAGCACAGCTCTATCAATCTCCCCAAAATTATTGAAGTATACACTTACAATAAGTATCTGTGTTATTTGGAATGGATGCTCTGTAAACAATGCATTGCCCAGCCAT